CATCACCTGATATTGCAGACTTTCCCCTGCTGCAGCCTCAGAACTGGGCCCCTTAGCTCTCATGGAAGGTGGGGCTCTTGCTTGTTTTAAAGTGAGGAAACTTCCCTGCCTGTCCCGTACACCCAGGTACCAGTTGGTCAGTGATTATCAGCCACCGAGGCCTGTAAATTCTATTGATAAAACAATGGTGAGATCTTGGCCACCTTTGGCAGGAGGCTCTGGGCCCAAGTGAGTGATGGGTTGTATGACATTCGACTTCCCTGCCTGGGCCTCAGTTTCCTGATCTGCAACATGAAATCAGTACTTTCCAAAATGAAGTGTGTAAAGTTAGCAAGAGAAGCCAGAGAGTTCTATCTAATGTCTTTGAAAGCCAAAGGAGGTTCATGCTGTTGTGTTGGAGTGGAGGACACCGAGTCTCTGGCTTCAGTCTGGAATGAGAGCATCTGGGTCATGCAAACAGCCTGCAGTTGGAAGATCATGGAGATAGTTACATTCATAGAAAAATATAAGAAAATTAACTCATTATTGATTGTAAATGCCGTATGGGGATGAAAAGATTTTGAAACAGTGGATCCACAGAGGGAGGAAATGTGAAACATTGAAAGGTGTTTGGAGGACACTTGGATTATAAAAAGATTTACCCAAGATAAAGGATGCTCCCTAGAATTAGTGATGAATACAATAATGAGAAACTCAGGGGTTACTCCAAATACACCTGATATAATAAATGAACAGAATATTCCAGGAATGCTGAAGCACTCACACTTATTATGTGGAAGTAACATGATGCTGGGTCTCACTGACTCCAAACCAGGCCACACCTGTGGTCCGCTCTCTCCAGTTTCTATTCTGTTGTGAGGTTGCCATCCACTGGTTCTGACTCACCTGCATTCCTCTCATAAGGACTCTTACATTGGGTCTGTCAGATAACCCAGATAACTCCACACCTTAACATTCTTTATTACATCTGGAAATTCTCTTTTACCATGTAAAATAATATATTCCATAAGTTTCAGGGATAAGGATGTGGACATTTTTGGGAGAATCATGATTCTGCTTACCACAGAGCTCCACCCATGGCTAGCCTGAAGGATCTCCTGAGCTTTCTGAACAATATGGCAGGTGTGGCATGGCTGCAAGAAAAGCTTCCTTCTTGCTGTCTGCAAGGCCTCTGGTCTATCCAGAGAATACACAAAGATGAAAGAGACCTTGTCAATGTTGCTAGATGTGATAGTTTTTAGATTTGATCCCATTAATATGACCACAGGTCTTTGGAATCCTAAAAGCCTAGAAAAATCTCTAAGGTTGGATGCATAAAGTTTAAGAGTCTTTATCTTGAGCCCTATTTATCACCATTGTCTTGGGACAGCAACTACCATGGAGAATGCAAGAATATCTATGGCTGGGGATGGCTGATTGAATAACGTAGTATAGGATTCTGAGCTGAGGCAGACATATTTTGCCAGCAGTATGAAAAAATAAAACATGCTGAGAACTCACATCTTCTCCTACTATTTTGCTGCTACTTACAGTACCCTGTCCAATCCCCAATATGTGCCTTCCTAGTTTCCAGTCAAACAAAGGATGTGTCATTGGTCCTCTCAGGAGCAATCTAGTGATGCTCAGGGCCTCAGGCAGACCTGACCATATTGCTGGGCTGGCCTGAGCTGTGGGCTGCCTTGGCATGCTGGCAGATGAATGCCAAAGCCACTTCAAAGAGCCACCCCTCCAGGTGCTGAGGGCAGCTTTTCTGATGCTCATGCTGTGTCATTGTTTATTTTTGCAAGGCACCCAGCTGCTGCGGTGATGATATTTATATCAATAAGTGCTCTATTCATCTGCCGATTTAGGGGATGCTTGCCAGCTGCATATGGCAGCCAACCTTAGGGCACTTCTGAGCCTGATGTTTTTGCATTTAGAAAATCTATTCTCAAAGGCTGTACCTACATCTGGGGTTGGAAGAGCCTCCATTTACCCAGGACCCATCCTGAAAGGGTGAACTGTAGCCAATGGCTCTTACCCTTGCTTTGCTATATGTCCTCAAGTGAGGTTCTTTGACTCTCCTCCCTCCCATGCCTGAGCTCCAGTTTTCCAAAAAGGGATGTTGGAAAAAGAAAAGAACAAACAGGCATTTATAAGCTCTACTTCACTCCCAGCCTCTTGGAGCCGAGCGAGTTCACTGTTTTACTTTTTCAGGCAAAGGGATAAGGTGGTGATGCCTTTTGGAAATGTAGGGAACCTCCAGAATGCTCTGTTTTGTGGGAATTAATTAATGTTAAGTTATCTCAGTTTCCAACCTTCCATTGTTTAGGCCAAAAACCTTGGAGTGGCTAACCTCAATCCCTTTTTTTCCTTAAATTTCATATTCAATCTGTCAGGATATTTTGCTGGCTCTACCTTCAGGATTTATCCAGAACCCACTATCACCTGCCTGCCACCTGGATTATTATAGTGGCCTTTCTTTGTTCTCTCTGCTCCTACTTTCAGCAATCAGTCATCCCTCATCTACCAGTCAGAGGGATGCTTTAACAAAAAGTCAAATTATGTCACTTTTCTGATTAAAACTCCTATAGTGGAACCCTAAGTTCTACCTATAACCTGCCCTATTATGTCTCTGACCTCACCTGTGGCTCTCCCCACACTCTGCTCCTGTCCCAGTGACCTCCGTGCTGTTTCTTGGATTTACAGGTGGGAGCTCACTGTACGACAGATATAGGTGTTTCTCTCTGCTTGAGATGTTCTTCCCTGAGAGAATCACGTGGCTCACTCTCTCACCTCCTTCAAGTCTGTGTTCAAGTGTTTTCTTCTCCATAGGATCTACTTTGGCCACCCTACTCCCGTTGTATCCCATGCCCCAAGCACAGCCTTCTGATCTTACTACTCTGCTCTCTTATTTGTCTTTTTGTAAACACTCATCACCTTCTAACATATAACTAAGTACATTATAGAATATGTGTTGTTCATTGTCTGTCTCCCCTTTAGCATAGAATGTGCAAGAACGTTTCTGTTTCTCTTTGTCTGTGTTGCTCACTGATGCATTCCCAAGCACATAGATTAGCTTCTAGCCAGTAGCAGCAGCAGATGTTTGATAAATATGGTTGCATGAATGAAGAGAATCTCTCCTGACCATCTTTCACAGATACATCCCATGTTGTCCTCAATTTCATTCCCTACTAACCTTCTCTTCTCCCTGCCTTCCTCTACCTTTCTGCTTTTCCCATTTTGGCCAGCTGCATTCCTGGATGCCTGATTACCCAGAATAGACACCTGCCATCATCCATGACTTTTCCTTCTCACTCATCTACTACATCCAACTTCTCCCTGAACCTGTGGATTTCAACTCGAAAACTTTTTTGCATCCAATTCCAATGATCTTACCTCCTGGCCATTTCCTCAGTTCACTCTTCCTTTTATTTCCTGCACATTTGTAGCCTTCTTCTCCCCAATCTCCTGGCTTCAGATTCTTCCTCTAGCTTTTCCTTCTCATGGTCTCTAGATAAGTCTTTCTAACTGGAACTCTGTTAAATCCTCTAGTAACTTCCTTCTGTATAGAAAGTATTTTCTAACTGTAATCCTAGGAACCCCAGGCATTCTGCAAAGGTTCTCAGAGTGACTGACTCTTTGAGCATCGCCGGGAGAAAATGAAAGACCAGAGTAGGTGGAGTCACAGGCCCCACTTCTTGCTTCAGCGTTGAGTAGCTCTTGATCATACCTGTTTCATATTCCTTGAAAACTTTTCATCATAGAGGGAATTTTGTTGCTTCCAAAGTAAATGTCAGATGTTTATCGCTCTGTAGTCCAGAGGCACTCAGTCTGGCACATGGAGCCCTCTGTAAGCTGGGCCCTGTTGCATCTCCCAGTCTCACTCTGCTCTTCTCCTGATGTACCCAAGCCCCATCCTCACAGGAACTGAAACTGTCCTGCAAACAAGCCTGTATATATGTATCTACCCTCCCCCTGCCCCCATCTTGTCTTAGCTCCTGCTATTCCTTCTGCCCGGAATGCCTTTATCCAGCTGGTTCATACCCCATACACCCATATCTCCTCTGCTTCTTCAAGTCCAAAGTCACCTTGATTTTGAAGTCTTCCCTCACCCTCTGGGCAGAATTAATTGCTCCCTGCTCCCAGCCAACACAGCACTTTGCTGCTGACCTCTATTATAGCACTGCCACACAAGGTCGGGACGATTTGCTCATCTGTCTCTGTAGTAAGACTGCGAGCTCCTGGAGGGCTGAGAGGACAGCTCAGATCCATTAAAAATTTTCTTTCTTTATTCCCACCCAAGGCCAGCACTCACATGGGAATGCATTGAGATACTCTGAATTTTCTTCAAGGCAGTGAAAGGATAGCTTTTCAAAAATCTCTAAGGCCATTCTCACTTCTTCCACCTCAGAATGGTTTTCTTTCCATGGAGGTATGGGTTCTAGAAACTGTCCCAAGTTATGTGTCCTGTGCCTTGAGTACAGAGATGTGCTATTGGTACATAATACTTAGAAATGCCAGTCCCAAAGGGGCTAGTGCATGAAGCCTGTCAGGATACAAGGGCAGCTCTGAGGAAGCCAGGACTGAGGGGTAAGGTCAGTGGGTAACACATCCCAAGTCCTACCAGGAGAGGCTGCACTGAAGAAGGGGAAGGATGAGTGAGAATGGTCAGGTATCAGGACATTGTCTGGAGGTGCTCAGTTTTGGGGCAGAAGCCTCCAGGCGCTGTGAGCTTTGCATGATTTTAGAGCAAGATCTTAACTAGTGCCTAGAGGATAGAGCAACTGAGTCTGGTCCTGGAGGGAGTTGAACAAATTTTGTAGGCAGAGGGAGTCACTGTTGGGAGTCTAGGGGAAAGCAGGGCCCAGCAGGGGACCCCATGCCTCAGCATGCAGCAGAGTGGGTATGTCTGTGGACCATGGGCAGAGACCAAATTGCACTGACTCTTCCTCCAAGTCAGAGCATGGTTCTCTGACCCACCTAGGCCCACTAAGAGCAGTAACTGGGCCTCCTCCTACCTGGGCAGTGTCCATTTCATTCAGCATCACCACGGAGGAGCAGTTATAATCGAACACCAGTCTCCAGAAGTCTGCCACAGTGTTGGGTAGAGGGTGTTGGGTGACCACGAAGGCAGCGGGCTGCTTGTGGCTCTGACAAAAAGAACAACACAGGCTTTATAAAATACGCATCCATCAGTGATATTCTGATGATGATGAGGCCCAGATGGCTGCCAAAGGCCCCTAGCCTGCCAAAGAGATTACACAAAGCACCTGTCTGTTCTGTTATCTCTTGGTGCCCTGGCAGCAAAGGGGACAGTCTCATAATGAACACATTCTCCTCCAAACTAAGACATTTCATTAGGAAAGTGTCATTTGGATAGGGATTATCTAAATACATTATTTATGTCTTCAAGCTCAGCAAATAATCATCATTACAATATGAAATGAAAGATTCTAGATGAAGATTTGCTGCTCTGCTGGCCAAGATACCCCTTGGGATATAAAAGCTCTGCCAAGTCCCTGTGCCCATGATACTGGGGGAGGGGTCAGGTTGAGACAGCTTCATCCCCAGTACTGAGGGCTGAGCTGGCCAGGAAGAAAGCAGATTCTGTAACCTATGAGATAATGGGGCAGTGGGAGGTACCCTTGTGTTAGAGCCAGGCAGATCTGGGGTTTAAATCTACTTTCGCCACATTTGAGTTATGAATTATCCATCTTTCCATCTATCTCTTATCTATCCTTTCATTTATTTATCCATTCATTCATCCAAACATCATTTGTAGAGTGCTTTTTGTGTGTGGTGGGGGCAGGGGGAGATTGTACCAAGCACTGGAAGTTACCAAATTGCTCCAAAGCTCAGATGATTCTTTATCTGGAAAATGGGAACCATAAATTCAAAGGGATGATTGTCATACAGACTTAGCAAGATTTGCATGTGAGCAGATCAGCAAGCAAGGGCCTGACTGTAAGCCCATGGCAAGGCAGAGACCTCCTCAACTTATGTTTTCATACTTGGCAGTAGCATTAGGGCTAAATACACTAGACACTCAGTATAGTGTAGCTCCAGTGAATAAATGGATAAATTCAGCCCTATGTCAAAGATAGGAAAACGGAGGCCCAGAGATAATGGTCTGTGGAAATCTAGAAGCTTTCACTGGATCTTATTTGTCATACTACTCTGCGAGATGGCATTTGGTGAAGCCTGGGAAATAGCCCATAATCTCAATGAGTTTTCTTCAGACTCTCATCTGTTTTCAGTGTAGTTACAAGTCAGAAAGAAGAAGAAAGCAAAGGGGCAAAGTCTCTGTCAAAGTGGGCAATGCCTTGCAAACATGGGTGGCCACATATGTGTTGGGGGGTCCTGTCTGCCACAAATCTTTTTCTGGTCAGTAGACTGGTCAGAGGAGGTGTCTGGAAGGGCAAACCATTTTGTTTCCCAAAAGTCACACTCTGATTGTAAAGAGCATGGTATCCGAGCCATTTCCATACATGGAAGAGAATCTCAGCTTTAAGAGTCAGCAAATGTGGAACTTAGATGGGTTTGGCTCCAGTCTTTCTGAGACAGCTGACCTTGAATAAGTGATGGAAATACTCTGGCCCTGAGTATCTCATCTGGAAAATGGGGATAATAATGATCAAATGCAGAATAAGACAGTACAAGACCAGAGCCCTACATGGTGTCCAACACAGTGATTGTTAGTTTTCTTTCCTTTCTCCCTGTCTCTGTGATAAATGCTCTATTAGGCCAGCACGCCTGACAAAGCCTTATCTGAAAATATGTTCAAGATCCGTGCTCCTGCTGGGTTTCAGAGATCAGCCAGCAATCCATTTCATGGATAACATCATCCTTTACCAGGGGAAACATTAAAAATTAACCCAGAGGACTTCATATTTTTCTGCTAGGAGCAAAGCTGCTATGGTTACCAGATAATGCACAGACTGAGTTGGAATACAGATAAGGATATGTGTGTGTGTGTGTATGTGTGTGTGTTTGTATATATATACAAACAGCAAATGCCCCAGTGATGGCTCACAGGAAAAATGCCCTGTGGATAAAGAGAATACAATCAGCATCAGAGCTTGGCAAAAGGAATTTGACTCCAGGCAGCATCTAACCTACTAAGTAGAGGCCAGGAGTTTTTTTGATCCTTGCTTGGATGCAGAAGGCAGGGAGGGAGTGTTGGGACAAGTGAAGCACTACCAAATATATGTGTATGTGTGTGTGTGTGTGTATGTGTGTGTGTTTGTATATATATACAAACAGCAAATGCCCCAGTGATGGCTCACAGGAAAAATGCCCTGTGGATAAAGAGAATACAATCAGCATCAGAGCTTGGCAAAAGGAATTTGACTCCAGGCAGCATCTAACCTACTAAGTAGAGGCCAGGAGTTTTTTTGATCCTTGCTTGGATGCAGAAGGCAGGGAGGGAGTGTTGGGACAAGTGAAAAACAAAGGTACGAGGAACTTGGAAGTGTGGGTATATCCCTAGACCCCATTTTTCACGCATGTGCACACACATACAAGAGGGCTTCAAAAAATTTGTGGGAAATAGAATTAAAGTCTGATTTCTTTTTGGTACATGAAATTTTAAAATCCATGCATAGTTCTTTTTCATAATATGCATTTTATATGAACTTTGGAAGACCTCTTGTGCATGCATACATTGACCTTGGAAGGCTTTGAACTAATGCCAGAAATCTTCTCTCCACCTCCCTCTAGCTATTTGATGTGACCAAGACAAGACTCCCTTGTTTGGGCTCCAGAGCTAGGACTGTCACAGAGGATATGGACATATTGTAGGCATGTAGACAAAGGTCAGGGTAGGCCCCTGGAGAGTTGAGATAGCATTGACCTTCTATCACCTTCCTGCAGCATTACTTAGAATCTTTGAGGAAGAAGTTCAGGAGAATCATAGATCAGGCAAGTGGTTCACCTTACTCCCAGGAGAAAGCACCTATGCTCCTGTCCTGGGTGAGATGGGAAGATCACCTGGTCCACATGGACAGGGCATTAGACACAGGTAGAGAGGAGGACCTGGAAGAGCTCATCCCTAACCAGACAATGGTGTTCATCATCCTGAGCCTCAGGATGAAGAGCAGGTGAAATGTCTGCATCTTACTAGATTGAGCAAACTTGAGGAGGCTCAGGAAATGAATTCTGGAGTATGATCTGAGCCCTGGGTTTAAATTCTGCCACTCCTTTGGGAGACCTTGAATAAATCTCGTTCTTTCTCCAGCCTCAGTTTCCCCTGCTGAAAAGTACATGAATGGAACCAGAAGGTTTGTGGTTCCTTCCTCCTGCAAACAGCTCTACATCTCAGAAGTGGAGTGATGATAACCATAATAGCTGAAGAACCCAGTGGGGAAGCACATACAGACATGTTCCCAATCCCAGATCAGGGTGGTGTAGTGTGCCCTTCTTGGACTTGAGTTGAGAAAGCAGGAGAAAGTGGCCTTGATGGGCATCTCTTGTAGGGCCTGTACCCTCTCCATGGTCCCTTTTACTGCTTCCCATTGCTGGTCCAGTAATGACCATCGCCTGAACATCTACTATACATCATCCTTATTTTAACCTATGCATAGGAGTTATCTGGGAAACTGTCTAGGAGTTACTAGAAAAAAGAACACATGTCTGCATCATCCTACATTCCCTGGGCTTAGGCCAAGACCTGGCATATAGAATGCCTTCTGTACTGAACTTGAGGATGAGAGATTTAGCTTGGTGGAAGATGAGGTACAGAGAGACCTGTGGGAGATGGTGGATGGGAACCACTTTAAGCTTTTGTTCTATTCTTTGCAGGCTTTTTGTATGAGCTAAGGAGTCAAGATAATAGCTTGTGTTGTAGTTCAGAGCCTTCAAGAGGAGCAAAGGTTTTGGGGGATAGCTGATTAGAAACTGGTGAAGATGGGGCCTTTAGGAAGATGCTTTTCCCTTGAATCCCATCTAGGAACTTTCTGTCAGGACTTAGCTTACATCCATTAGTGCAGCATTGATGTAGTTGCTGGATTCTCCATCCACTGAGATGAGAAAGGGCAGGCAGCGGTCTAGAGGCAGGACATCCATGCTCCGGTTCTTATCGTGGTTTCGGGGCAGGAGCCCGATGCTGCAGTCCTCAGGCCGGACACGGGGTGTCACAATGTTAAGGGTCTGTGGGCACAAAGGTAGATAGGTAGGCCCTGCTTAGATGTTTGGCCCTGAACAGAGGTGATGGTAATGTTCCAGTTTAGCCTATCTCACTCATCTCCACCCTCCAAGTTTGACTCTCACAGCATCTGTTTTTCTTTCAAGGTGATGTTCTCTCACCCCCTGTTTGCTGCTACAGGGCTTGTGAGCTGAGAGCCTTTGCTGAGGCTATGTGACACTTCAAGATGCTAAGACTGCAGAGGAAGCATGTCTACCACAGATTCAAACATGGGCTCACTCCCAATACCTGCCAACCATCTGAATTCAGTCATTCAGTTCAGTCAGTACTGAATTCAAAAGTAGACTAGCTGGACCAGCAGGTAGAGTGGACCTTAAGGTCCTGGATCACGTTGTGTGGTTCACGTCCTGGACCCAGTGGCTTGAAAATTATGCTTGGGTGCATGTGCATGAATGCCCAAAATTTTGAAATAAGACTGGAGAAGGGATTGTGGCATGGCTATTCTCCCGGTGGGGTGATTTTGCTCTCTCTCTCTGGTGAATGTATGTGCTCTATAGCAAAAACTGGAAAAAAATGTGTGGGCCAAAGGAGAAGCCATATGGTGGTAATATGGATATGGAGTTCCTAATGAAGGTTAAACATCACTTAAAGTGTCATGCAATGAGGGAAATTATTTATAGTTTTCTTCCTAGAAAAAAACTAGTAAGGATGGAAGGATCCTTAGATGAGTTGCTCAGGATGGATGAGACCCCCCCCCCAAGAGGCAAGCTCTAGTAGTCCTAAAAAATTACATGGTTTGTGTTCTGTAGAGCAAGTCATGCAGATTTGAGGCCAGTGTTGCACTGTGCCAGCCATTGTGCACAATGACCAGGGATCGCAATGAGGGAAATTATTTATAGTTTTCTTCCTAGAAAAAAACTAGTAAGGATGGAAGGATCCTTTAGATGATTTCTCAGGGATGGATGAGCCCCCCCCCCAAGAGGCAAGCTCTAGTAGTCCTAAAAAATTACATGGTTTGTGTTCTGTAGAGCAAGTCATGCAGATTTGAGGCCAGTGTTGCACTGTGCCAGCCATTGTGCACAATGACCAGGGTTCTGTGTCCGTCTATTGTTCAGCATTCTACCACTACTTTAAATCAATAGATGATTTGTTTGAAACAGCACTAAGTTATTGATCTGATTGAAGAATGTGCCCATGGAACCAGGGGTTAGCAATTGTTCACGGACTTAAAGCAAGTCCTGGAGCTTTCTTGCTTCCACCTGCTTGGTTCTTGACTCCTGTTACCCGGATATGACCCAGATCCTAGCCTTAGGGTAAAGAGCTGGTCTCTGACTTTGCCTTGCCCAGTGATTTATGTCTGGGCCTCTCAGACCAACATTGCCACCAAATTGCTAAATTGCCACCAAATTGCCTATGAGCTCCAAGGTGTGAATCTGTTATTCCTGAGTTGTGGCCTAGGATGGTGTTTTTCAAAGTTTAATGGGCATGCAAATCACTCAGCTATCTTGTTAAATTGTAAGTTCTCATTCAGTAGGTCTGGGTGGGGCCCAAAGTTCTGCATTTCTAATAACCTCTCAGGTGAAGTCTCTAAACCACACTTTTAAGCGTAAGGACCTACTGAGAAAATATTGAGAAGACTTGAGTCCCTCCAGGGACAGAAACATGTGAAATTCACACTTGTACACATGAACTTGTCTCTATCCACAACTAGGACTAGAACTAAATAAAACCACAGTTCTGAAACTGTTATAGTTAGAAACAAGCACCAGCAATCATTGGGTGATTGGTTAATAGATGCTCATGGCTACACATTTTAACTTCTGGGATGCATTCTCTAGCTGCCTAGAATTGCAGATATTGAGGTGCACAGACGTATCAGTTCTCATGAAGAAAGTCCTGCAAATGTGCATGTGCTACTGGAGTTTGTTGGGTCACTTTGATGGATTGAATATTTGTGTCCCCCAGAATTCTTATGTTGAAATCTTAACCACCAATGTGATGGTAGGAAATTAGGTTATGAGGGTGGACCGTCTCCTGAATTAAATTAGTTCCATTATTTATTGGAGGAGACATGAGAGCTATCTTCTCTGCTTTCCAGTGTATGAAGATATAATGAGAAAGCAACTGTCTGAAACCTAGGACGTGAGCTCTCCCCAGACACCAGATCTTCTGGCAACTTAATCTTGGACTTCTCAGCTATCAGAAATAAATGTCTGCTGTTTAAGCCACACAGTCCATGGAAATTTGTTATGAGAACCCAAACTATTATGGTCACCAAACTTGGGATTTATACATACCTGAAATTCATCTTTGATTTGGCTGGAGTTCGTCTGGGGGTCAAGTCTGCTGATGTTGTAGTAGAGAGAGCGGAACTCACACACAGGGATGGCAGTGTTGCCACAGAGACATGCTTCCAGGATGGCATCATGCACAAACACATATTGCTCCTGCAACACCAACGGGAGAGAAAATAGGGTACTATGCAGGCCCGGGAGTTTGCTGTCCACATTTCATATCGTGACTGTGAAGAATGGGCATGGTTACATTGCAGAATTCTTACTTTTTATCCTGCAACTTGATGGGCCAAGTTTGCATGTTTCATAGTGACTGAGCTATGGTAAGTTCCATTCCTGGTGTGGACTGAACAGCATAGTCACGAATGAGAGCTTGTGGTTGTGTAGCAGGAGGTGCTCTTGGTGCCCTGGCCATGCTTTCTCAACTTTCACCTTTATCTGTTGAAGGTTTCTTCCTGTGAATACCTGTGATTTTCTGCTGAGGGCTTTCTTTCTAGTCCTAGAAGCACATCTGGGCTGTGTACAGCAAACTAGCAGGGCCAAAAGTACTACCTTGGGAAGTAGCACTCAAACAATTACAGATGGATGGTTGAAAATAAGAACCTAGTATTTTTCTCCCTTTGTAAGGGACAATTGGAGATACATGCTTCATATTCTCTTTCAGGGTTCCCTAGCAAGAGCGGGTTCCAGTCATCTGCAGTGTATCACAGATTGATAAAGTATCCTTTATTTGTTTCCTTCTCTTTCCTGTATCATTTCTTCACTCACAAACCAGTGTGTTTGGGGATTACCTTCCAAATAAACTATTTGCTCTTAAAACTTTGTTTCAGAGTCTGCTCTTAAGACAGTGCTGTACCCTTTCCCATCTCAGTTCTTTGTACCTGCTGTTCTCTTCAAACTCCACTCCTCTCTTTTTCTATACCTCCAATTTTTCAATCCTTCTCAAAAATCTTCTCTTAAGCCACTAGGCAGAAGTTGTAACTTATAGACCCTTGATAAACATTTGTTGAGTGACCTTTTTCCTGCAGAACTTGACCTATCTCTCTCTATAAAAATACTTATTCATATGCAACATGATGCATCGTCATTTGAATATGTCTCTCACACCAATCAGTAAGGAACATGTACCTAACTCTAACCAGTCAGCCTGCCTTCTGCTACATTTGAATATGTCTCTCACACCGGTCAGTGAGGAACATGCACCTAACTCTAACCAGTCAGCCTGCCTTCTGCATTCATGAACATTAGAAAGATAAAGAAGCACTCATGGCTTTAGTGCTGGAAGCCTACAGGCAGAAGCCAGCTAACTGTGTGAGTTAGCTTACAGCCTACAACAAAGCAAGGGACTTAGGGCCCATCCTAAACCCATCTACGCAGGGACTGACTGCAGAGCCAGAGTGATTGGCTGTGCCCACAGTCATGGGTAACTGGCCTTTGCAGGGTTGATGATGTGTATAGCTCCTTCTCTGTCTCAGCTCTGACTGTCTAGGCACCCGTAGCCTTCATCAGAACCAGAGGACAGGCTCATACAGGAATGATAAAGGAGTAGGGTAGGCAGAAAAGCTTGCTTGGTGAGAGAGTGTGGCTCAGGGGGAACATCACAGGCCTTGGGGTCAGCTGGACCCAAGTTCTACCATGTTCTGGCTTTGTAGGATCTTAGGACACAATTTCTCAGCTTTTTTTTTTTTTCATTGATAAAAATGGGGATACTAGTAGGAGATACACCATAGGGTTGTTGTAAGGAATAGAGACAATATTGTGAATACAAAGAACCTCTTATTATGTAGTATGTGTCCAACATTAAAGATAAATCCTTATTTTCACCAAGTCTTGGGCTCTCTGGATACAGAGTTGCCTGATGGTCTGCCTCTTCTTAGCAGGCAAGGACTTTATATTATCTCTCTTGGAATCTCCAGCACCTAGCTCAAGTACTTAATACTTTGTTGATTAAACCATTTCCTGCAGTGACTGAATTGATGTTTGGCATACAGTAGGCCTTCCATAAATGTTGATGGTTCTCTTTCCC